ATATAGTTACAAAATATAAATAAAAATATATTAATATTAAGTATATATATATATATATATATATATATATATATATATATATATATATATATATATTGCTTAAACACCAGAGCAATAGAGGCTCAGATCTACCACACCAGACAAGACCCAAGGTGTAGGTTGTGCAAGGAGTTGTGCAGTCCAGCACATAACAGCAGGGTGCAAGATGCTGGCAGGGAAAGCGTACATGGAATGACATAATCAAGTAGCAGGCATAGTGTACAGAAACATCTGTGCAGAATATGGACTGGAAGCCCCGAGGTCAAAGTGGGAAACACCCCCAAAGATGGTGGAGAATGACCGAGCTAAGATCCTGTGGGACTTCCAGATCCAGACAGACAAGATGGTAATGGCGAACCAACCGGACATTGTGGTGGTGGATAAAGAACAGAGGAAAGCCGTTGTGGTGGATGTAGCAATACCAAGTGACCACAACATCAGGAAAAAGGAGAAACTGGAGAAATACCAGGGCCTCAGAGAGGAACTGGAGAAGGCCATGAAGGTGAAGACCTGTGGTCATCGGGGCCCTCGGGGCAGTCACCCTCAAACTGGAGCAGTGGCTAAAACAGATCCCAGGAACAACATCAGACATCTCAGTCCAGAAATGTGCAGTTCTAGGCACAGCCTTGAGAACCCTCAAGCTCCCAGGCCTCTGGTAGAGGACCCGAGCTCAGAGGATGAAAGAGACCACCCATGGAGGGTGAGAGGGGAATTTTTTTTTAATATATATATATATAAAAGGACTTGGCTCTGAAATAGGTGCACAGCCCTGTTTTAAGTGCATGGGATACGTCGTGGTGTGTGAAAACTCTCCCTCTATTTACCCGTTTTCAACGTAGACAATTCCATTTTTATACTCTACTCTTTCTCATACCGATTAGTTTCTACAGTCCCTTGCAAAAGTTTTAACACCCCTTTAACTTTTTACATGGATTGTTGTGTAACAACTGCACGCCTCAGCACATTTATTGGGCATTTTATGTGCTTGACCAGCAAAGAATTGGGGATATTTCAGTTCTAATAAGGAAAAAAAAAAAAAAAAAAAACGTTTGCGGAGTGTTTGTATCCAGCACCCCCGAGTCGATATTTTTTGCTGCAATTAAAGGTGCAAGTCTTACATCTATACATCTAATGGGAATTGCAATGTGCAGTGTTTGAATTGCCTGGTTTCGAAAGCCCCAATTGCAAATGATTCCTTGGATGGAGTTTTTGGTGGAATATAATATTTCAGGTACCAGCATGCCAGCAATTTATTTGGCCAACTGTATGAGAATGTTGTCAATATTTAA